TCTTATACATATTAAATATGTAAACAGTCACGAAAATGGCTTCATCGGTTTTCTTAAAATTTTGTATTTGGTGGATTTCAGGGGCGATAAATCAATATAGCTAGGTTTCATTGTAAGTAAATGTCTAAAAAAAACAAACAAAGTTCGGTCGTCCAGGTACTGCAGTATAAAGGAACACGAACCAGTGTATCTGACAATAAACTTATGGAAATCAATAATAACGCTCATTATATTCAATGCTATTACTATTTATTATATAGTTATTATATTATGTACTTGGAGAACAGCGTCTGGTACAAGGATTGCATACTGAAGGACAGGTAAGTAAAATTATATTCTTATATTCCTTGCCTCGTTGGCAGAGTGGTCGCAAGGTGCAAGGCAGACTGCCGGGCAAGGGGTCTCAAGTTCGATTCCCGAGTCGGGTAAAGTACTACTGGGTTTTTAAAAATAACTCAGTGGTAGCACTGAAGTCTGGAATTGTGCCCGGCATATGGCAATAGGCTCACCCCCTATTACATGGGACTCATAACATAAATAGTGGAAAGTGGGTGTTACATTATCCAGTGGCATTAAGTGACGTAATGTGCACCTCTGCCTACCCCTTCAAGGATAAAACGGCGTGATGTTGTTGTTGTGTGTTATATATTTTTTATTATAGCAAAAGTATAAAGTAGCATGTCGTCTCTCTGCTGTAGGGTAGTGAAACCATTCTCTTATTGGCTCCGTCTCATAGATACATATATTATAATAATTCTGTTTACTATTCATATAGGGCACTAGGCCATTGGAATCTAGAAATGTTTTTATTGAGTTTATTTTACGAATAGTTCATTCGACAAATCTGCTTGCTATGCTTTATTTTTTGGTATATTTGGTATATTTGGTACATTTGGTATATTTTGCATTATATGACGTGAAGTGTCCGGTTCTTTAGAATAAATAATGTGAGTGTACATAAAGTCCCGATTGGCATTAAAAAAATAAGTAAAATTGGGAACCCGAAGTAAGCCGTTTTGAAAAGTCACTCCTCATTTGCTTATCGAATTAAAAGCAGTGTATTATTTTTTTAACCGACTTCAAAAAAGGAGGTTCTCTGTTGTATCTCGCGTTTGGCTGAACCTAGTTGACGCGGTTTACAGAAAAGTGTTTGTTATGGGATTTTTTTTTTAAGGGGGGAAAATCATCGAATTACTGCTCCCGCCTGGGTGAGGCGGGAGGGAGTGTCAGACTCTTACTGACTAAAAACCACCCCGTTCCTTCTCCTGCACGTCGAGTCGGAGCCCCGGTTACCCGTTAGGTTATCCGCGAATATCAATTAACCGACTTCTAAAAAAGAGGGTATTAAAGTCGCTTTTTTAAACGTTGTTTATAAAACTATTATTAACTGTTTCATTTATGCTTTTGGAATTAAATTACCATTCATAAAAATTAGAAATGGCAAACTTAATATCAGAGGTCAAATAAAAACCTGGAATAGAAGCAGTTGTAGTTCTGATCTGGACCATCCAGATAATCAATCTTATAATTCATCATCTCCAAAGAACATCTGCACACCCAACTGAACACCCAAATGCCATTTAGCGCTTGTCTACATGTAGAATAGAAAACCAAATTATATGGAATTGACGTAAATTCTGACACTTGTCAGTGTCATCCCCATTTAGCGCTTGTCTATATGTAGAATAAAAAACCAAATTATATGGAATTGACGTAAATTTTGACACTTGTCAGTGTCGTCTCCATACATTTAGTTTTCTACTCTCTCTGTAGACAAGCGCTAAAGTGGCGTTTGGCTAAAGGCACTGGTCACATCCACAAATCATTTCACGTGAAACCGAATCTCAAACCACGTACATTGAAGTAATGTGCCGACAAACATATTTCATCGTTTAGACCAGAAGGGCCTTAGATCCTATCACATAACTTATGGGATTAGGAACGTCGTAACCGTAACCCAATTGTGTAAGAGATCCCATTACGTCAAAGTGGCTAACTTTCCTTCTCACTAAAAACTGGTGAAGTAAAAATATCGATGAAAATTTAACGAAAACAGAAGATGTGATTTGCAGGGTATATTTTTATAGGCTTTATTGCTCAATGCAGGTTGGTGATTTCAAATTTATGATTAGAAATTATAAGCCCAGGTTTCCTCACTAGGTTCCTCACAGGTTTCCTCCAATCAGTGGTGTCTGAATAATCTTAGAAAGTACATATATCTCGGAAAAAGTCACACAGGTACTTGCTGTTGGTAGGTACAGAACCCGCACCCTCATGCATGAGAAGCGGGTGTCTTAAACCTCGAGACCATCAAGACATTTTAATTCACCGTGTTCAAAATAAAGTAGCTACCTCCCGTTGTATGCAAGGGTTGGAATACGAGTCGAGTCGTTTTTGGCTCGCATCCAACCAATACCGACCCAAGTTGTCATCTCACATAACTACAAGACTTCCCAATCTGCATGCTTGTCTTAGCTTCTAGATTAAAGGTTTTGTTTTGCAAAATAGTTTATCATAAGTAATACATTAGAACGTAGATCAATTGCCGTAATTGCACCATTGGCGAGGATTTTAATAAGTTCTATCGATCCGTTGCATATCGACGGATAATTTTTATATTTAATTGTTATTATAATGACCAGTATTGTATACTGGGTGAGTTAGGAAACAGCTATCAAAAGCATTCAGTGCGATTAACTAATTACTTGTTTAATGTGCTTCTTCAATGTGTGCACATCCAGTGCCTATAGCAACTCATTCGTGTTAGCAACTCTCTTAATTTCATAAACCGGTAGAATAAACACTGATTGCATTGGACCGTACAAAATTAATATTTAAGGAGCTAGTAAAAAATTAACAGATTTACCAATGTGTACAAAAAATATTACGATTTCACAAATATTGACCAAAGATCTTACACAAGCCTAGATATAAAAACATAAATGACGTCACCGAGAAAAATCAAATAAAAAGCGTAAGAGAACGAAAACAAATAAAGGTAATGACGCAGATGCAAATCTCAAGAATGGTTCTCATTGAAATTTTCATTCAGAAACTACCTTTGTCTTTATAACGAGAAGTCAACAAGAAAAGGTACTAAAAGTAGGTCATCCAGGTTATTTAAAAAAAAGAGGTTCTTTGGTGAGGTAGCTTTACTTGTTTGTTTCATGCATACGGCTTGAAGATATGATGAGGTCGTGAAATGAGGTCTTCCTTCAAAGGTAGGTAATGTTGCAGAGCGGAATGATGACGTAACAGCTTCTGTGGTGCCGTGCCAAAAGGTGCAAGAGATATACCTATACATAGGGGTATGTACCTTATTATGTAAGTAACATGGGAAGATGCTGTTTTCTGTCTTAATATTGGATACATTTATCAAAATAATAAAGTACAATTTGGTTTATATAAAAACGTAACGTCTCTTATTCACCAAAGGGATATTCCACAGATAAGTCTAAAATAGGTGTAGAATAATATAATAGGTGATCCGACAGAGAACTAAAGTTATCGATGTAAGTACAATCCCCAATGGATAAGCAAGCTGAAATGGCAGTGGGCCGGTCACATTTGTCGAAGAACCGATGACCACTGGGGTAGACGTGTTCTAGAGTGGAGGCCGCGTCTATGCAAACGTAGTGTAGGGCGCCCTCCAGCTAGTTGGAGTGACTATATACGGAAAGTGGCTGGTAGTGGTTGGATGTGTAGAGCTGAAGACCGAGCTCAGTGGCGTGCCATTGGAGAGGTTTATGTCCAGCACTGGATGAAAACAGACTGTTGATGATGAAGTTTAATACGTCGTCAGTACGACATTATAGTAGGCACAGCTGCAGCAATTAAGAGTTCTCGAAAAAATATTGCTCCTCAGAAAAATACAGGTATTCCGGCTTGCTGTGATTGGTTAGAGAATATGTCGAGATAATCACGAAGTTAAAGCGGGTTCTAAATCTGGGAAAAGTATCGATGGGACTTTTTAAACGGTTTTATTTAGCTTACCCCGTTTTTAAGGTTATACTTGGTTATGCATAATTATGTACTTTCACTATTGATGTAGCGAAGAAAAACATCGTAAAGGAACATGGACTTATAATTTCTAATTATAATGTTGAAACCCATTTGTCTTGTGCAGTGTTATTCAAGGCAGATTGATTTCACATCAACACACTTCACTTCAACATCCTATAAGTGCTGACTGCTGAGCAACAGACTGAGAAGAAAATAGCATTCTTGCGCATTGTTATTGTTCTACGCCTTTGTTTTATAGGTAGGCCGAAACTATAGAGCGTCCTCAGAAAAACCTCCGAGCAAACGGCAGAAGAATATACGTAAAATATAACCTTGGCTAACTATTGGGACCTAGAGAACACCTTCCATTATCAATATTCTTATGACTTCGATTGATCAAGGTCATTAAACGTTTTTAAAATAGTGTCAATAACAAAATACTAAATTGAAAAGTGTTATTCAGGTTTTTTTCAAGTAAGTGTCACGTGAATAAATAATAGCATGGAAATATTTTCTGTTATTTTGTAATGAATTTGTAAAAGTGGTCTATGATGTTTTTTTTTAATATTTCACCTGTATAATAAAACGTTGCTCAGAACTTATATGTAGTGCTCAAATATTTAATTTAAAACAATAGAAGAACGCAACCGTGGAATTTTAAAATGAAATTTGAATTCAGAACAGGATAAATATAATTTATTAATTATAACAAGCAATGTAGACGTTACCTATAAAATACAATTTACTTTCGAAATAATTATAATCATTTCTAAAGTTAAATACAAATACATAAATAGCCAAAAACATACACCGATAGACTATAACAAGACATAATGCAAACATTTCATAGTGGGACAATGAAAACAAGAGACGGTTGTAAATTCTAAATTCTCAGAATGCACGCATCTCACCCCTACACGGCTGACATTGGCCTTTGGTAACACAATCAATACAACTAGTAAAATATACTTTGCAACGAAAACATAAGAAGTACTCACATAATTACTGAGGGACTCCGAAGTAAAACACTTTAACACGACCTTACAAAGCTAAAGTTACTTAATTTCAACGTTAATTACAATAAAATATTAGGAAAAATTCTAATCAAACTATCTAACGAGGACTAGCGGCCGCCCATTTTGTCCTTATGTCAGTTTACAGGGTTGCCAGCGCGGAATATGTTGAGAGAAAATCGGGTGCTCGTTCGAAAACCTTGTCGCGTGGAAATTGTGGAAAATTGTGAAAATCTTGATAACTTTTTTTCTGTTTACAGTTAACAAATTTGATTAAATTATTGAATTAATTTTTTCAGTTGTCCTAATGACTGAAAATATTCACGTTATAGTATTTTCTATAGGCAGCTTATCTTTGACCAAAACAAACAATGCAATTATTGGTCCGTCTAAGTAGTCGGTTATTTAAATTTTATTTATCTTCCCACAGCAAAAAAAAAAAATATATAAATTCTATAATTTTTTTTCGCATAAAAAGCTCTTCCATAACAAAGAAATATCCTACGTAAATGTGAACAAAGGCAAAATCACCCATAAATATTTTGAAGAATCATGGAAGAAAATATCGCAAGAAAAGAAAGAAAAACCATTTATATCAATTATTGTCGTAAATAACGAACGCATTAATTACATTTTATATAAAAGGATTCATAGCTACTTAAACTATTGTGACATACACAATCGACAAAATAACTGTAAATACAATAAACTCACATTTTCTACACATCTGTGAAAACATCCCGCACTGAACATGTAACGCCATCTAGTAGCATACTGAGTAAACATTTCAAGGAAAACGCTTTCCATTATGTACTTGCAGCCGCGTAGTTAATGAGGTGGGTACTTACTACACGAAGTACATAATGATGACGACAGATGTCGTTGTACACATCTTCTTAAATACTATGGTTAATAAACAAAAAAAAAGATAGCAAGAATTAATTATTACTCGTGTTTAAATATAAGAATTTTATAGTTAAATTCATAGGAAATTTGCCATAGAGTTTGCCGATGTCGAAGCGTCTCTCAGCACAGAAGGCGTCATACTGTTCGTAGGCAAGTTTGGTGCCGATGAAGGAGACTGCGAAGATGCAGACAAGAAGCAGGGCACATATTGTGGGGCAGAGGATCGCACCCAACTTGCTGGCTCGATCCGATCTCACCGATCCTATCTCAGAGTCCGTTACGCAACGTCGCACTGATGCTTTTGTCATTGCTGAAAAGTAAATGACAAATCATTTCTATGTAATGGCATAGTGATAGCAGAGCAGAATACACTAAATATCGCCACCCCTACTACTTCTAATAGTGCGCTGTAGTAAGAGAAGAGCTGACAAAGGGACACATTTGAAAAAGGTCGGGCAGCAGCGCCCTCTGATAAATTTCAACTGTTTCAACTGTGACCTGCACACCGCTTTCCCAGCGTAGTTGCATAGTATGGTAGGATCCGTAAACTGCCAGGTCATATTTTCAATTTTGACCAAGACTTCTACTTACAAATACTTTTTAAATAATAGTAAATTATATTATACAACTTACTGTAATGATTATTTTATAAAAATATTTTTTATAATTAATTTTATAAAATATGCGACATGAAAGTGGCGAAATTGTACACAAAAATTTATAATGTGTCATTGTAATGTCATTTGTGAGTTTTACTTTTTATTTAGAGGTATTCTCTTTGCAAAGAGTTTGAAAGGCCGATACATATGCGTAGGTACCACTGATATGATAAGAGTATGGATAAGAAACAACTAGGAAAAAATCGTGCCTACATAAACTTCACTTGGTCACCCGTAATGGCGGATAGAACTAGGAATGTAACTTTTAAAACTGTAGAAATATCGATATTTTAGAATTGGTTTTAATTGACTTATCAATAAAATATCATTATTTTATGATTCATCTGTTTTTAATTTTTATCTAGCTGCTAAACATTACCGACATATTAGCGAAATATATTTAGTAGTTGCTGCGTGCACTGTCACTCCAGTCGATCGTGCCTATACATCCACATCATAACTTTCACGATACTTATGTATCGAAATTCATGAAAAGGATTTTCCATCAACTGGTCAATATTTATATACTTAAGGTTAAGTAATTTTTGAGGGTTGAAAAATAAAACTGTATCAAAGTATTCATAAAATCAAGATTTATAATATACAATATCTTCGTATTTTTCGTAGTGTTTCCCTGTAATGTAATCTGCAAAATCATCTTTCGAGAAGACTCCAGAACTGGTTCCAAGTTCATTTTCATGCACATATCTGGCTAGAGGCTGCAACATAAATAGTATAATTTAACTTACTTGATCCAATTGAACATAGATTTTTCTATAGATTCTATAGGTACTGTACTAAGCTCTGAACGAAAATGTTTCTACATTACAATGATAGTGATAGATAGCGGAGGAAAACAGAAACATATAGGTACAAGAACCCGGTTAGTTATGAACTTAATATAAATGTTAAATAAAATGTTAAGTTTGCACCTCTTCAAAAAATGCTTCCAAAACTAATATAACAAAACACATAATGAATCGTTTACATTATGATTTACCAATAGAGCTTGTAGCGATAGGGCCCCATCACGTAGATTTACTATTAATTTATTGTTCGGTTAAAACATTAATCTTCAAAATAAAGTTAACAAACAAAGATATGTTTCCTTCTAGTATCTATATTTCCCACATTAATTATTTCCAGCCAAGAACTTCTGCGTGGTTCAAGCACAAACTAAAAAGAAAATTTATAATATTATTAAAATTATCGGCAGAGTTCGACACATTCTAATAAATACTCTAAGAATACCCTAAAGTTATATTTCATTTGTTTGTTTCATTTGAATCCGTCGAGCGGCATTTGATAAAAAAATCAATTTTGACAAAAATGCATTTCCCACAATATTATTCCTTATCTCATATTGTACAAAAATTATTCTCTATTGTATTAATTATTTATTACATTACGTAGGTATTGACGATGGTGGAATTTTGTCGATAAAATGAAATTTTTGACGAGTACTTAATGTTTTTTGTATTTTGTCATTATGTCAAATTAATGCACTTTATCATTCAGAATTTAGTATAGTTCTTTGTTCTACTTTTGACGCATTTATTATGTACGATAAAATTATCGATACGGGAACAATCATGTACATCACTATTTTTTAATGAAAATTGTTTTAGACGTATTTCAACTAAAATTAATGAAAATAAGCACTGCATTAGTTAGAAAAGTATTGTATTTAGTCAATTTGCAGCAACCACACTTGAATAGTTTGAAAAACAGAGATATTTTAATGAAAAATAACAGTACTTACCGATGTAATGTTACACCTGCCGGTTTAGTAATATTTTTAGTGCTACATCCAATAACACTGCACCCGGGCATAGTTCTTCTCACTAACCAATAATTTCTTTGTTTACCACGCACAAAAACAACAGGAATTCTACAGCTACAGCTTTGACAGCTGATGTACCACTGACATGCACTGATAACAGGGACTAAGATGGCCAATTCGGCACAACTAGGTTTTTCTGATGACGTCAAAAAATTATGGCCAGAATGACAATAATGTGTTGTCTCTTTCTGCATAAGCAAAGAGACATAAGTAGAAAAGAAACAACAGTATGTTTATGAATTTACCTTCAAGTTGGATCCTAAATTCTACCCGTAGACAATAGCCAGACATCTATGTTATATTTATAAATCTATGGTAGGTACCCCTGGCCCTGGTTACATTAAACTGTCAAACACCAAGCGGTCACCGGTGATCGCAACCTATTGTTCTATAATTGCGTCTATAATGACGGTACTCAACGAGTTAAGCATATAAAATCACGCCTTTTATCCCCGAAGGGGTAGGCAGAGATGCACATTACTGTACTTAATGCCACTATACAATGTAACACTCAGTTTTCACTATTTATGTTATGAGTCCCGTGGAGGTGACCCTATTGGCGGTGTATACCGGGCTCTATTCCAAACTCCGTGCTAACAAATCTCAGTAGGTAGTAATTTTTTCAAAAAACCAAGTAATACTTTACCCTACCCGCGAATCAAACCGCTTGCCCGGCAGTAGCACTTGTAAACACTCGGCCAACGAGGCAATCAGATACATTAAGGTAACATATTTATGTCTGGTTCCTACGAATTACAAATCTCAGAGCCCCAAGAAATATCCAAAGTATCAAATGTTACAAAACAGATTTAGGTAAATATGTTTAACATTCTACGCCGTTATTTTTTTCTTAAGGAAGTGACCTCAGCGCTCGTGGCCCACGCTACCACTTGATATTCCACCGACTTCAGACTCTAGGAACTTTGAACGGTTTCAAAGCGAATTTTCTGGGAAAACTCGTTAACTATCACGAGATAAAATAAATTTTACCATCTACCATCGTCATCTATTGATGATATCTATGAAGTGTCTACCAAGAAATCTTTTAAAATTACTCATATTATGAGAATAATGATACCTAAGTGGTTGAATACGAATACATTTTATGGAAGTAGGTACTGAAAATGTATGTGTATTGTGTACACATCATATCAGCCTTAGGATGTCCACCGCTGAACATAGGCCTCCCTCAATGACTTCTACATTGCCGATTGGAAGGGACCTGCATCCAGCGGCTCCCTGCGACATTAATCATGTCGTTGATCCACCTTACCGTTAGGCCGACTGAGTGAGTATTTAGTCAGTTACGAAAGACTTGATCAAAATTATTAAGAATCCTATATCGATCTATGGCTGTTACAACGTCATATAATATTATATGTTAAATTTATTATAATTATAATACATCTAGCTTCTATCAGCGGCTTCGCAAAAAGTAGTCTATGTCCTCTTCCAGACCATAATCTATCCCTGTTTCAAATTTTAGCTCGATCTCTTCAGCCGTTTTGACGAGAACGAGTAACAAACACACATACGCACACACACATACATTCTCACAAACTTTCGCATTTGTAATACTAGTAAGATAAGATAGTTAGTTAATATTTATTTTAAATGACGCTTGTAATGACCCAATAGTCCACCGTCTCTATAGTTATTGTTCCGAGACCGTCTACCTGCTAAACATAATTTTGTCATAAATCTTAATCCACTGTGTGTGATAAATAACAAGGAGGTTTTAATTAATCTAACGCACTTGGCACCGAAGAGTATAATATGTAGGGGGGTACTTGGCATTCGGATTCCTAGATCTGTCAAATATTTCGTTGATAGCGAAGCAAGTCAATCAATTGCGTGTGAATTGTGATGGAAGTTTAAAGAAAGCATAATTTTAAAAAGGAGATTAGCGATAATAAGCAGCAACTTGATAAAGTAAGGTAATATTTGAAACGGCTGCCT